CAAGAGCGCTTGTTTTTCTCAGAATGGGAAAAAAAGTTCCGAAAGAAGTCACCCAAAAAAACTGCGTCAAAAAACAAATTCTAGGTGTTCAAAAGGAGCATTTTTGACACCGTCTTCGGTCTGAAAGAGTCAAGTCACAGAATCTATTGCTTACATTTGGGCCTTGTGCAGGAGGGTGCCACAGCCGTAGAGACTGCTACATTCATCTGTCAAGTTTGAGAATGGCGAAGTCGACGTTGAAAACTCTTGTCCTCGCTCTGATCGACTTTGGTGAGTTGTAGGGGGAAAAGAGAGGGTCTAATGCACAGGCTAGCGAACGGTGAAAAAGAGCAGAACCACCCAGAACCCGGTATAAACTAAAAAAAACTGGATCAAAAGGGCCCTATAGACTAGGCAAAGTCGCTCTACTCCACGAAAGCGCCTGAGCTCACACCGAGAGAGTCTTCAGGACCTTCCCCTAGGACTAATATGAGTCTCTAAAGCGCCTGTGGATCTTCATTCAACAGAAAACCATTCATAGCTCGCTGTCGAAGCAAATGGAGGGTGTTATCTGCAGCAACGACGAGGACCTCGCGTTATTTCTAGGGCCTGCATTCGGGAAAAATTGTGTTTCAAAAAGAAGTTGGGCACTATTCAACTATTACTACCCCAGTTTTGCGAAAACAGGCCGGATCTTGATCGACTTTTTTCTACGGGGGCAGATTTGGCTGAAAGTTGGGTTCTAGGGGTAATTCGACCTCGTGAACACGAATATCACATCCACTTGGCCTGAAAGTGCCTGGCGCCCGCGCCACAGGCGCCAGTGATTTAGGGCATTTTGGCGCCGGCGCCTGTGGCGCGGGCGCCAAGAGGTCGCGGCGCCCGAGCAATTGTGCATATTCCGTGTTCAGCGGTTCAGACTTTACTCCTGGAGACAAAGTTTTCAGCGGATTTCTTGATTTAGGGTTACTTGGCCGCGGACGCAGCGTTTCCAGGAGGAGCGGATGTGATATTCGTGTTCAGGAGGTCGAATTACCCCTAGAACCCAACTTTCAGCCAAATCCGCCCCCGTAGAAAAAAGTCGAGATCCGGCCTGTTTTCGGAAAACTGGGGTAGTAATAGTTGAACAGTGTCAGGAAAGCTTGTAATTTTGCTTTTCCCGTTAAGCCAATCAAAGCGCCTCTGAGGGGCATCTTATCAATGGTCTTATGAAAAATCAGTCTCTGTTAAATCAACCTGATAAAAAATGCGCATGGAACTTACTCTCCCAACGTAGCAAACAGATGACATTCCGCTTAAATCAAAGCCAGATCAACTGAATCGACTAGATATTTCTTGAATCTTCAGGTTTTCTGAGTATCTCAAACTGTTCTTCGTGGGAGGGCCGAATTCACGTAGAGACTACCATTTGGAGGAGGGAGAAGAGGTGAGCGCCAAAGAAATCGCTGTTCTTTTCTCTCATTTTTGCTTGTACTTTCAATTCCCGTTTTTCACTCTGCGAATCGTAATATTTACAGTTTTTCTATCAAATGACCGGTGATATGGTGCTGAAGGTCATCGAGCGGGGTGTTCCACGTGACATTGTAATTCGTGAAGGTAAGCGAGTCTCCATAGTGATAATGGAAGAGAAGCGATGAATGATGATGTACTTACAAGTTTTTGACGCCTCATAAGTACAATCTAGTGCGCTGTGGACACGGAGGCGTTCAAGGGGTTAGGCCTTGGCGCCGTGTCACACGCCCTGTTCCTCGCACAGTTATGGCAAGGGCTGACAATGAGGCAGGCAGCAAGTGTAGGTGTAAAACCGGACTTCGCGCTTCCAGCCAAACCCGCTTCTCTCTGACGCCCCGGCGTTCACTTGAGAACAAGGTCATAAACTAATTTTCCCAAAGAACATTCGTCGCCGGCAGATCGTTTCTGCCTTTGAAGGTCAATTTTTCTTTAAAGCTATACCCGTGTGACTGAGGATTAGAAAACAAGAAAAATATACCCCCCAGGGAAAAACGCGAATATAACTCGCTTACGATAGCATACCACAATCGTTTATCACACCCACTAATCCCGGATTCCTGGAACAAACGGTTTACTATTTCCCCGATTCGGTCCCTGAGTCAATGTGCGTCTTGACTAAACGTGGATATCATGGCTCGTTGGCACTAGAACTCGGAGTATCTTCCTCATAGAGCTCTACAGGTCTAAAACTAGCCCAGTCGGTCACGGTAACGCAGGGTGAATGCTGTGGTCAAACGTTACTGATTTTATATTCAGGTTCATAGGGTCAAACTACCCACAAAGGAAAATGCGGGGTGAGCTTGCCTCTACAGATAATGTCGCACAAAATCTGATTTGGATCCCACCTGGCGGGGCAGAGACTCATAAGTAGTGCTAATATCTGCGAAATTAAGTGGGAGGATTAATGCATGTAAACTTATCACTCCCTGTTTTTTTGTCACTGAAGCGCCGTTTCTCTTCATGTTATTACAATGGTGCGTGCCACGCCAGCTGGGAAAGCACAATACCGGAGGCGTGCCCACTCGTTTGTTCAACCTTTCAGCGTGGAGGGTGTCACCAGTTTTCGTGAGAAATTCAGAAATGGGTTATTCCAGACTGCGTTTCGGTTGTAAGGTTATCGGCGTCTGACTGTTGAGATATGCAGGATCTTCGTTCCACATATCTCGTCTATGTCCAAGTGGCACTACGTACGGAAACATTGACCACGCTCCTTCCTCCCTCCCCCCCCCCCTTGCGCTCATGCCTTTCTCGTAGACGGCAGTTTCGACTTTTCAGGAGTTTTTCTGGTTTAGGTGAAATGTTCCTATTGCCATCTCGAGTAGAACATTCTCCTCAGCGATTGCCGAACACTATTGGATTCGTATTGGAGCGAACTAGAGCTAATACAGAATTTGACTGTGTAAGGTAAGATGAATACCTACTTCCGCAGATTCATTTACAATCACAGGCTTAGTTAAGCTCTTATAGCTGGGGTAAAACAGGGTTCACGCAACTGTGGATGAGATACGGCCTGGTAAGTCTTCACCATTGGGGTAGCCCTTACTTAACCAGAAGTGAAACAGCTGCTCGGTTTTTTTACTGGGATCTAGAAATAAACTCATTCCAAAAAAGCTGCAAGGTAACAGATCAAATAATCACATGGGCTCATGGGACCTATAACTGTTCGCAAGGCGATTAAGGATCATTTGCTTTCAAGCTTAATCATTCATTTCTCATGGTATTCATCCACGCAGCTCCCCTTCCCTCTCATCGCCCCCGCCCTTTCCCCTCCCCTCATGATATTCATGAAAAAGGTCATAGCTGGAACTGTCTCTTAGCTGCATCGACAGACCCTACTCAAGCAAGTAGTTTGCTCATGGGTTCGTGTCCTAACCTAGATGCCCGTAGAATGCAAGGGCGCCTGACCAAGAGAACGATCAAGGGGGAGAGTAAATGCGACAGACGTCTGGAGGTCATCCTTAAAACAG